ATCTTAATTTGTACATCTTGCAACTTCATATTCGACTTGCATCATTTGACAATTTGTAGGGTATAATCTTGTCCTTTTCAATTTTTGTAAATTAAAATTACGTAAATTTACAGCAGAAGTTTCGAACCTTTTAAAAATATGTCTCAAACATTCAAATCTTAGCACATACATCCCAAATCTTTTAATAAATATGCGTAGGAAGAACTTTTAATGATTTCCATCCAAAAATCTATCATTGATCAAAAATAGAATATATGACCTTAATATGACAAATTTAATGCATGGTAAAGTGGTATTTAACATTTAATTAATTAAAATAATTAAAAACTGGAAAATATAAAACAAATAATAAGAGAAATAGAAAAATAAATAAAATTGAGAACATTCATCCACCCTACCCTGAACCCACACCACCACCATAACTGTCACCAACTAGGAGATTTCTCCTCTCGATTGGTCGCCGCCCCGACCATCCTCGGCCCAACCAACACCTCGCCAGCAAAAACACAATCTAGCTACGCCAAAGTGACTACTCCTTCCTAATAAACATCATTCTCATATCTATATTTGTCATGCTTTTTTCAACGAAACTCCAAGTATGGTCGCATGGAAACTACACATCAAGTGAATCTGGGCTAGCACTCCACGTCATCCTGCCCATTTGGCAATTTGGTCGAAACCCCCATGAAGAGGCCGAACCCATATGAAGAGTCGAGCCCTCGTGGATAAGAATGCCCGTTATCTTTTTTTTTTAATCAATCTATTTTTATGTTATTTTGATCGTGATTTTCCTACCTCCAGAGGGAAAGGTACTTCCCTTTTGGGTCGGTTGTGGGTGAGGAGGGATCCAAGCGAGCCAGGCAGAGGCGCTGCTAAAGATCTTTTGTACAAGATCTTCCATTTATGGTTGATGTGACAACACATTGCAAAATGTCAAGTTTAGCCCTCATGTGTAAATCCTAGGGTTGCAAACGATCAAAACATTAAATGCACCTGAGCCTAGGACTAGAGGTATCAAGACGGACGGGCGAATAGACCAGTGAAAATCGGCCCGAATCGACCAAGGACCGCAGGCCGACCCGTGACCCTAGCGGGCGGTTCATGGGTCAATGAGGTGTGACCCGCTGGTTTTGCGGGTTGCACCTTCACGAGCCGCGGTAAAAAAAAATTAAAAAATTTTGAGAAAAAAGGGGGGAGAGTAGGTGCCAACCTAGTTGGGTGTACTTATACTATAAATATTTGATAATAGTAATTAAAAATGTATTTAGTTGTTATTTGTTTCAGTTAAATTTAACTTTACAAAGTTATAAATGCTTCATGCAACATTAAATTTGGATTCTATGTAAACATTTTTTTGTATAAATATGANTTGAATTCTATGTAAAAATTTCTTGATATAATTATGAATTTATCATTTTGTTCAATTCTTAGTTTACATTTAATAAAAAAATATATTTTTTGCTATAAATATGAAAAATTCTATATTTTTATAATTTTATTTATACAATCATACGGGTCAAATCGGAACAAACCGCGACCCGTGACCCGTATGGGCTTGACTCGGATGGGTCAATGGGCGGGCCTGTGCTGTAGTCCAAAATTTGTGGGCCGATCCGGAACCGACCTAAAACCCGTAGTGTGCAGGTTTTTTTTTCACGCAGACTGTTACCGAGCTCATATGTTGGCGGGCCGACCTGGCCCGGACCACCCTGATTGACACCTCTACCTAGGACTGACCAATTGATACCTAAGACAAGGAACCTCAGCTGTTAAGATGATGCTACGTGTCTCTTCATCTAACAGTTCTTACTCATCCACTTTATTATAAAATTAAAAGCTCACATATTGTCATCCAAAGGTAATGCAAGTCCATACTCTCAGTATATATCTTTTGCAATCTCCTATTACTCTCTACATAACTCTAGGATCCAACCCTCCTTTTTACAAAGGGCTGACTTGATCGTCGGATTGTGTGTGGCCGCCTCCTCCCACTTTGGAGATTCATGACCACATAATCTAACAATTTGTCCAAGTCCGCATGAAGAACTACGTGGACCCGAAGAGGAGCCGAGGTCTATTGGCCACATTACCCCTACAAAAACGAGGTTATTCCTCCACAATCGAGAGGTTGGAAAAAACACAGGTTCAACCAACGTGAAGCTGCCCATGCCAGAGTACTTTCTCTTAATAAAATAGAACATGTGGCATGAATATGAAACACATTTCAACTCAAAATTCTACGAATTATATGAATATTAATGCATGTCAACTCAAATCCCTACTTTGTCGGAACCATCACAAGAAAACTGAATTTTATAAAATAAAATTTTCATTTTAGAAAAACACGTCAAGATATTCACACCATTTTTAATCAGAAAATTTGAAAGAGAATGAAGAAACCCAGAAACACCATTGCAGCTACTTGCCTCAAGTGATCTTGCCGACATTAGTTTAAGAAGTCTAGAATTTTTTGTCCTTTATTTGCCATTCTATCATGATCTATTATTCATTAATTTTTGAGATTTCAACAGCAAAAGGCTTCATCCTCTAAAGCAATTTCTCGAACAACAGATTTTTGTATGGACACTGTAAGAGGTCCTTCATCTGCACATTTAGAGCAGTATGGTGATTGGCCTATCTTGTCCTATTGAAAGCTTTCGTAAACTCATTGTCAACATTGCAGTTCCTCGTTTGGGAATTGAAAATTGTAGACTTTCCGCTGTGCATGATAAGTAAATTCCCAACACTACGTGGACCCGAAGAGGAGCCGAGGTCTATTGGCCACATTACACCTACAAAAACGAGGTTATTCCTCCACAATCGAGAGGTTGGAAAAAGCACAGGTTCAACCAACGTGAAGCTGCCCATGCCAGAGTACTTTCCCTTAATAAAATAGAACATGTGGCATGAATAAGAAACACATTTCAACTCAAAATTCTACGAATTATATGAATATTAATGCATGTCAACTCAAATCCCTACTTTGTCGGAATCATCACAAGAAAACTGAATTTTATAAAATAAAATTTTCATTTTAGAAAAACAGGTCAAGATATTCACACCATTTTTAATCAGAAAATTTGAAAGAGAATGAAGAAACCCAGAAAAATGTGATTATAAGAAGCATTCAATAAAACACCATTGCAGCTACTTGCCTCAAGTGATCTTGCCAACATTAGTTGAAGAAGTCTAGAATTTTTTGTCCTTTATTTGCCATTCTATCATGATCTATTATTCATTAATTTTTGAGATTTCAACAGCAAAATGCTTCATCCTCTAAAGCAATTTCTCGAACAACAGATTTTTGTATGGACACTGTAAGAGGTCCTTCATCTGCACATTTAGAGCAGTATGGTGATTGGCCTATCTTGTCCTATTGAAAGCTTTCGTAAACTCATTGTCCGGTCCTACCCAAGTAAAAGTTTTTATGAGGAGATTCTTGTGTCACTTAAAATTATTTCCCGTTGTCGCTAGTGTTTCAGAATATTTCTTTCGTCTAAGCGGTAGTGTTAAGTGGGAAGCAAATAGAGAAAAGAGAAAGATCTCCTTCCTTAATCTTCAAAATCTGGCTTTGGCTATTGCACTTTCCATCAAGTTTCAAGTCTTGGTTCAAACATATACTAGACCCAACGACAGTGGCACTGTGGCAGTGGGACGAATTCGACTCCCTGATTTAACATTTGGATGTGAGACATAACAAAGTATAGACACAACATATATGCATTTAAATTATATATACTGTTTGATGTATATTTTTGGAAAATAGATTTTTGTTAAAAGTGACATTTTTTTGAGAATGTTCAGTTAAAAAGTAGGGAAAAAATAGGGATGCAAGTGCAAAATTATTTTGGAAGAACATGTAATTAAAAATGAGTTCGGGAAAAAATGAATTTTAAAGAATTTGTACAAAAAAATGGGCATATTTGTTTTCATGTACTTGAAATATTTGGCACAATAATTTTGTTTCCATAATTAACCTCTTATCGAAAGTTTAAATCTGGACTTTCTTTTCTCACTTATTATTTCCTTTGTACCTCCCTTCAAATTAATTAAGATGATTCCTTAGTCTGACGTCCTTTCAACATGAATTCCTATTAATATTACCCCCAAAAGGGAAAATAAGCTGATAGCAATGGAAATGCTATACCTACCGTACACGAGAGTATAACATTATGATAGAATTTGGATGTGATTCGAAGTTCTTGTTGAAATAATTGAAAAATTCTAATTAAAGTGCACGTCAAGAGAAATTCAGTTTAAAATATTTTTGAAATCTTATTCAAGTAAAAATTCTATTTGGAAGCCCCATTAAGAGTTTGATTTGAAAAAAAGACTTTGAGAAGAAGAAAACAACTTGAAGAAAAAAAGGAAGGATAGAACGCCCAACGCTTGGCATGGGGCACCGCGCCCTATTTGGCGTTTTGCCCTGAGCCCCGAGGCGCCGCCACCTGTTAGTTCCGGGTTTTTTTACGTTTTTCACTCCTTTTTCATTTTGGACTCGATTTTTTGGCATCCTACTTCATCAACTCTACTAGGAGAGTTTGGACGTCCCCTACATGTTCCCTATAAATATTAGGTCCTTCTATACAATTTTATAGTGTAAGAAAAATGATTACTAGTTTTTAGGATCATTGTAATATTTCTCCATCTTCATTATTTGTGGTGCAATAAAATTTCCTAATTCCTTTACCATATTTTCTTGTCTTCTTTTATTCTTTTACTTGTGATCAAATACATCATTATTGTGCCATATAACTTCACCATCTCAATCCGATGGTTGATTTCATATCAAGTGGTATCGAGCAATACGTGATCCTTGAATTCCCAATAATTGGTATCAGAGATTCTGGGCATAATTAACTCAACACATTACGTTCATTTATGTACGCGAGGGAATATGTTTTATTGCAACAACAAAGTAAGCTTAATTACAACAAATTCTGGGTCGACTGAGAATAGGGTTTAAGGACAAACCAACCATGATAAAAAGCATCCAAGAACTAATATTTAACGTGTTTCTTGGTGGATAAAAACCAGTCGATAAAGCTTTGAAGTGTTGTGACATCTGCCCGATAGTGTTTTTGTGTGAATTCTAGAAAACTCGACCACGTGAAATCTGGGTATTTTCTTGATTTTTCCATTTCCATAAGATCCTGTGGGGGTCGAACCACCTTATCCTCTTTTGGGCTGACAAAGTAGGCCAACGATTTTCTCACATTGTCTTTGTTTACCACTGCCCTGTGAAGGCAACTCTTATATATCCCGTTAGATAGCGCCTACATGTCAAATTACATATATTGTTGAAGAAAAATAAATGAATACGTTAGTTTTTAGATGACATAGTTAACATACTATACGGGAAAATTTCAATTCTGGAAAGTTAATTATCATGCAAGTGATACTCATGATGTTAAGTTGTATAGTGCGACCTAATGTTTTGGGAAATAAAATCTACTAAGCTCGAGTATTAACATAATGTGTCCATTAATAATGGAGAACTCTATAGACTATATATATAGGATTTGTTTGAATTTTATCAAATTTTAATAGAAATTGATTAAATGTGTATTTAAAAAGGAAGAAAATATATGGAAAAACGTGGAAATGAACTTTTCTGGATATCGTGAAAATGAATGTGGAGAAAAGTGATTTTCAAATAATCTATATCAAACAAGTACGTAGTTGAGGGAAAAATGTATGAAATGCATAGTTGAAGTATTTCGTGCATAGTTGTAGCAGCATACATGTTTTTTTTCCCTGAAAGGATTATTTGTCAATATATATATATATATATATATGAGAAATGATCTAATGAGCACCGGTGCTCATCTTATCCTAAGCACCGATGAGTTGGCACATTAATTCATTGGTGGATAAAGATTTTGTGAGTTCCAATCCACCAATGAATTAATGTGCCAACTCATTGGTGTTTAGGATAAGATGAGCACCGGTGCTCATTAGATCATTTCTGTATATAATGCTCATTAGATCATTATATATATATAAAACTTTGGAGGGGGTACGTATACGACCTAACATCGCGTCTATGAAAAAAATATATTATAAACTCGACTTGTTTATGTGTTTCGGAGCTGAGGCAATGAATTTTTTTCTTCAAATTTCTTGCCCTATCGTCATTCTCCTTGTAATTATGAGTCATGTTAGAAATATTATTATTATTATTATTATTATTATTACTACTCTTGACCATTAGTGTAGGTCCAGTCAATTCTAAATTATTGTTTTCCAAAAAGCCAATGATTTTATTTTCAAGTAAATGCACTAGCTACACGACACAGTCGACACGATAACATCGTAGAAACATTTGATAAAATTTGTTAGTTATCTTTTAGAAAGTCGTTTAGAATGCTAAATGAGTCCGCACCTACTTATGGACAGACAAAAGAAAAGATGTTGACATGTCTAGAGTGTAATTGAAACACCAGAAAGGTGGCCTATATGTCCCATCTTCGGTAATTAAGGACTACGGCCACGTGGGTTAGCCCCGACGTGTCAACGACGTACACATCATGTCACACATCATGTTATGACACTTTTTAACGGATCGAATCAACTTGACGTGCTGAAAAAGTGAACTATATAATGACACGGTGTGTGCAATGCGGCTCACTTTACGTGTTATTGTAACATAGTGAAATATTTGGGTCCAAGCCGATACGCATTTATTCAATATTATCACGTATCATGTCTATATTAATTCAGATTTTACGTGAAATATTTGGTTCCAAGCCAAACAAAAATTATAGTTCAAGTCTCACCGCTATCTCGTATTTATGAAAAATTGTGCACCGATTAGGCCTTCGAGGCAAAAAATGAATTCGATTAATTGTAGTTATGGCTGTAGTTACATACCATGAACGTGTCGCCGATGTTGATAACGAAGGCCTCGTGGCGAGGTTTAATGGCTTGCCATTTGTTATTTGCAAAAACTTGAAGCCCGCCAACTTGATCTTGATGCAGTATTGTCAAGGAAGTTGGATCACAGTGAGGACCTGTGCCCAGGGTAAGCCCTGGATCTCTGCATACTGGATAGTAATTACATCTCATGATTGAATTACCATCTTCAAAAAACTTCCGATAGTGTGAACGATCAATTCCCAAGCTAATTGACAAGAGTTCCATTATTACAATAGCCAGATTTTCCATTGCTTCACTGTAGTTCTGATAGATAACCCTACAATATATGAAATTGATTGTGAGCTTACGTAGGATGAAAAACCATATCATATGCACGTGATGAGGACGTTCTAGTTGTAATCCGTAAACTATTCGTGAAACGATGTGACAAATACCAAAAAATATTTGACGAGTAGTAACCTAGTTAGTCACTTGGCTAGAGGCACAAGTATTGTAATGTTTAACCGTTGTGTCCAGTTCTATCTAATTTAACTTACAAAAGACGATCTATTGATAAGAGCTTACCTACCGTACTAGCCTATATAATATTTTAAAGAATATCGAAAACATTGAAATTCATATTCGGAAGTAATCTCACCCTGCTTCTTCAAAATCGTTTCCTAGAACGGATTTGAAATAGTTAACCACGTCAAGCTCGGCTCCATGTGCATGATTATGTCCAAATGAGAGTGTTTCCTTCCATGGAAGTTTGGAAGAATATCGATCAGCATGGGCACCGGAATACCCGCATATGCTACCTGGCTTTCTCCGAAAGCTCAGCTTTTTCTTCACAGGAAGCTTGAAAAATGCATCCATCTGATCATGGGCAGCCCGAATAATCTCTATATCTACACCATGGTTTGAAACTTGGAAGAAACCATGGTTCAAACATGCTGTCCTAATTTGCGTGGCGGCTAAATTCGTAGCCTCCTCATCACCATTCAAGAACCCTTTTAGGTCTACTAATGGTTCCTTCAGTTCATCTTGTGAATACGCTAGGTCCCTATGAGGCCATAGGAATTCTGTTGGAAAGTTTTCTTGTTCTTGCAACATAGACGTGTCGAAGAAAACCTCGCTTTGTTTATCATTTTGAGGACAAAGAGCAAGACTTGAACAAGTTGAATTCATTAGGTCAGGCTCGTGCTTAAGGATTGGAATCAAAAGACCATATTTATAGAACAAAGGTGTTAATGTTGTAAGAGATAAAGAACAACATAGGGCACAAGTCCATGTTTGGTTTAGCTAAAAATCAGAATTTTAATAAATTTTGATAA